TTTCGTGGAAACCTATATTTATTCTGCTTTTAAAAAGACCCTGGCTAAAGCTAAGAAATTGCCAGAAAGATATTCAGATTTTTCAAAAACTGTTTAATTTATTCCTTTAAAGAATATTGTCGTTTGCTCATAAGTTTTATATTTATGATATTACAATATTGAATTTTTACGGTATATTTATTATGCATATATGTATATTTCAATAATAATAATTCTCTTCGTTATGACGCACACAATTTTTCTAAACTTAATTTATTGAGCGATTAGAATAAATGATGAGTATTAGGTACTTCGATTTTAAAGAAAATAGGTTCAACTTTTTAATATTTACTAATCTTTACCCGACATCGTCTGCTTACACCGGAATTGGCCTCAGAGATATAAAGTGGGTTAAAACAATGTGGTAAACATTTGTTTCAGTTACAGCGACATCTGTTGTCGGTATTGGGACGTGATTTAACACACTACAATTATATGGATTCATCTACCGGGAACTACAAGAAGAAATAATAGAATAAGATATCTATATTGTTGTAAATATTTTTTTATCTCTATTTCATACTTTTTATTCTAAATAAAATATTTTACACAATATATGTAGTTTAATTTTATTTTGGTCAATTTTATCTGTAAGGTGTCCTGGCATTTCTTTAAAGGATTTTGCATGCACCTAATTTTTTGTTACTTATGTATTTTTAATAATTTGAATCGCGCAATGCATACGTTATTTTCGAATTGTTTGTAAAATCGAATTAAAATCATGATAGTTGAATGATTTGTTAAACAGATGACTTGTTATTTGAAAAGTTAGTTTTGCATTAATTATGTAATCGTTTATCATTGTATAACATAAATGAACATTACCTAATATGATAACAATTCCTAAGCATTTTGAATAAATAAAGTTTATTAATAAAATAAGCTTTAAAATCGGTTTTGAATAGAAAGAAAACTTACAAAATATTTATTTCTTTAAAATTAAGGATTACGCAATTTTTCTTGCCAATTTGGTTTTGTACTTACAAGTTTTTTGACACGTACTCACTTGTTTTCTTTTCTTGTTAAACGTCTTGTTGTTTTCCGTAATTTTGCGACTTCTTGTGTTTTTTCTGTAGTAAAGAGCTGGAAACTGCTGTACCTGCAACTTGATATATTTGGACAGTAATTAAAATATGGGGTCTGCACGGCGGAGTACCTTCTTCGGACGTGCTAGCTGCTTATGGTGTATTTTCTCTTAATTAGATTAAAGACTTTCACGAGTATTCATTTAAATAAACCTAATATTTAAGGATTACTACGCATTAATTTATTATTTTTAAAAATTTCATACTTCCGAACTTCTTTGCAGCAACAATGATCTCAGATAGACGACATGAGAATATGTATAATAGGTGTGTGATGGCATTCTTTTTAATTTTACTAGTTTGTTTATACATAAGTTAAAATGGTGTTTTTTCCTCTTTATGTCAGTTCTATGCTCAGGATATGTTACATTTTCAACAAAATTGTTCCTCAACTGTTATGAATGTTTTTTTGTTTAAATAATAAATTACCTGAAATAAAACTTGTATTATCAAATATTCTACGCATTGTTTATTATTTTAAAATACATACTTCTGAGGCTACAGTAACCGTGATCACGGGCAGCCGAGATGAAAATGTATCAATATTTCAATGAATACTCTCAAAAGTTTTAGATATCATTAAATAAAATTTCCTTTTCAATAAATCGGTATCGACATCCCCTGTGAATCCCCTTTCACACATAAACGTCGATAGACAGACATCTCTTGTAAGTAATTTCAGTATATATATTACAAAGCTCAAATATTTTTAACAAAACAATGAACTGTTTCTCCCGTATATTGTCTTAAAATATAATGTAAATTCTAGTGTTTATTTATTATATTATTTTAAATAAAATATGTTTTACACAACTCTATAAAATATTGTTTTATTTATCTTGACACAATCTATTATTAAAATGCTAATTTTATCTTTCTGTTTATGATAATTTCTTTTCTTCTTTTTATAAATTGGTTTACCAGTGAATGAGTGAAAAAAAAAAATGCTTTTTAAGTTTGAAAAAAAAAGAGTTTTATTTTAAATTCTAAATCGTACTTTTTAGGTTGACAATATAATTTTGTTTCACATACTTACTAAAGCGATATTCTAATTGTTCAATATTTTAAAACAATCAGTTGAATTTGTTTTTTTTTATTAAAAGTCTGACTGTTCGTCATCGGCCTATCAGAGCCATCTGCTGAGCAAAGACCTCTTTCTCACATAGAGAAGGTTCGAGCATTAAACACCACGCTTGCTCAAGACGGGTTGGCGATTTAGTGTTCATGTAAATTAATACTGTAACCTTCGTTTTTCTTTGGTTGTGATGGATTAAAAGAGTTTATTTTTTCCTAAACATCTAAAGTAAATAAATCTATTGAGGTTTCATAATTTTCTGAAAATTTAAATAATGATTTGTGGTTCAGTTTAATTCTGGGTATAAATAAGTTTAAAAACACTATAAACTGTAAACGTGTATGTTTCTTATAAATATAGCTTACATTTAAAAAAACGAGTTCTTTATTTTAAGAGTATCAATATTAAATCTGATTTAAACAAGAATCGGACCGGTTGTATTAATTATACTAAGTATTTGGTTTCATTTAAATTTTAGAAAATACATATATATATATTCTCAAAACCTTCCTTAATATAGACAAAAATTTAATTTATTTCTGTATTCTGGGTTTTCGAATAATAAATTAGTTTCGCTATTAATTCTACATATTGTTTTCAATTTTATAAACTTTTACTCTATTGAAATTAATCAGTAAAATATAACATATAGTCTTCTGAATAATTTTAATCATTATATGATGAAAATGTGTGATAATACAATCGTTTTACTTTTCGGAGAAGAAAAAATAATGTGAATCGAATTTTCAAGTGAATTGTTCTTTGAATCCAAAAATAAATAATCTCTCACGTCCTTTTCTCCACACAAAATAAGTCAGATAATGTTGATCTCAAATGGTTTCGATTAAGAAATTTCGGGGCCAGTCGTGTCATCTAGCGGACATGCAAATCAACTAATAATTTTAGCAGTAATTAATTTTTACGCCATCTATTGGAAAAAACTAGTATTTGGTACTTATCTGAAACTGTAAGCTCGATAGGATAAAATTATTATTAATAATTCTTAATATAAATAATAGTAATTCAACTTTAACATTAATTTACTAATGTAAATTTACTAATGTTGAAATAATAGTTATTTGTAACTGATAAACGCTATACTTTTAATTTTTTTTAAGCCTATTAGAGCCCATTGCTGAGTAAAGGCCTCTTCTCACAAGGAGAAGGTTTGAGCATTAATCGCCACGCTTGCTCAAGACGGCTTGTTGATTTCAAACTTATAATGTGAAATTATAAGTCCCGGTTTCCTCACGTCGTGAGGCTCACGATGTTTTCCTTCACCGTCTGTTAGTATATTTTTTATATATCAACTTAAGTTCATACTCCAGAATTTATCATCAATAAGACTCACGAACATTTGGATGGTAATTATTAATTAATAACCATTTATTGTTGGTATGGTTCTAAATTATGTTTATTTTAGTGGGAGGAGAAAATAAAGAAATAAAATCCAACGTCATATCATAAAATTACTATGTTTTATGCAAGGTTTTTGGAAAATTTTCAATATTTATTCGAAAATGTAAATTAAGACAATTGAAATAGTTTTTAGTATAAGCAGTAAGCACCTAAACGATTTTATGTGAATTATATTTTCCAACTCCGTATTCTATATAATTTGTAAAGCCAAGGTAAGCTGTTTCTTAATTCTCAAGACCCTCACGGATTAAATAGTTTTGTTCTTTCAATATATATTTTATACTATGGCGAAGTTTCTTACAAAATATACAGGGTGACTGGTGAATTACTATCGATATTTGAGGACGTGATATTTGACGATCATATATGACGAAATAAAAATTAATATAACATAAATATTAATAAACTTCTAAGTAAAGTTAACCAAAAGTTGTGTAATTAATTACGCATCGTATGAACACCCTACAGATTACTCTACACTACACACTCACACATACGCGTGCGGCGGCGTAGTGTTGTATCAGCACGCCGCCGCACGCGTCCACACTTGGAACACTTGGAACGTGTACACACTTTATTTATTTATACGGAAATTTGGTCAAAAATTAAGTACCTATTTTTTTTACATAATTCGAATGAGAATCATGTACCGAGTATGCTCCTTAAATATTGATAGTAATTCACCAGTCACCCTGTATATTGCTGTCAGACTGTATTAGAGTACAATTTAACATCAAATTCCTATTTTAGTAGCTTTTAGTACAAATAACTAGTTTTAGCATAAGAGGGAACAATATTCTTTTACAACATTGTATCCAGGTACATACAGGCTACATAGTAAAAGATTTAAACTATAAACCTATACGACGCTATTAAAAGACTTATGAATGAAAAACTGGAAACTATCCTTTTGCAGTTTAATCATAAGAACTTGTGGTAAGGATAATGTGCTCAAAGTTTGAAAAGATCGAAATGCTCAAGTCTTCTCAAGACTATTTAAATGCAGCAGTATCATTAAAGTTAGTAATATTATAAGGAATTGGACTAAAACAAGGGAAATAAAAAAACTACAAGCATGGAACAACTTTTAAATTCAATCGAAACTTGTACATAGTTAAAAAATCATGATAAGATTGTTCCCATTTAATTTTATATTCATAAATAATAATAACAAATAAAAGACACATCAAAATAAAAAATTATTAAATATACACAACAAAAAACACATAGAAAAGAATATAGACGGATAACATCATAATTACATGCATGAGAGGCGGGAATTTAACCACTAGGCCACCACTGACTTACATGCAGTACATTCTGATATACAAATTAATCATTATTTAAATCAATAATATCTGTTATATTTTTTATTATATAACGCCTAGTCGTTCTAAGTCTCGCGGCCGCGATGCTATCAAATATCCATTTAGAACATATTTCTCCATTGTTTATTCCTATCGTTATGTCACATTCCCCGCCATTCACTATTTTCGCGCCACAAAGTGTCACAAGTTGTGTAATGGCGTCCTTGTGTTGTGCGTTATTTGTGATGCGTATTTTAATTCCGTTGAAAACATTGTAAGCGTATTCCGATTTATTTTTCTGTAGTGCCGATCGCTCCGCTCTTGCTTTCTGTAAAGAAATTATGTTTTATATTTTGTGAGAATTTTCATTGAATAATATATTGAATGTGAAAAGAAAATATGTAAGATAGAATAGTTATGTAGATTTAGCTTAATGAGGCAGTATTAATAAATAAAATAAGAATATATTATAATATTTAATATTTATTTCATATTAAAGCTACCTTCAGCTAATATTATGAAAACTAAATTTTAATGAAAAACCGACTCAAATGAAATTAAGTTATATTCGGAATTGCATCAAGATTTTTAATTAGCATTTAAATTTAATAATCAATGCATATATATAATTTAATTTAGATAAAAGAGCAAGATATACTTATATTACTCAAAGATAGTTAGTCATAGTTGAAAAATATATAATATATAACCATACCTCATATATTTTCTTCAAATGTTTAACTTCATATCCAAAGTGATGTATCCATCTGTTTTCTTTCATACTATCAAACACCCACTTTGAGTACAACACTCTACAACCTCTCACTGCACCCAGCAGTGTGTTGATTGTCCTCGGCTTATCAATTTTAACTTTATTATCACATTCTTGTGAATTTTGGTCGAGGAAAGGAAACATTAACATCACATCTACACACACATGTATGCATATCTCTATTTATATTATCATTTATAACTACATTAGTTAATAACTGTGATAATAATTTCTCCGGACTGTTACATTTGTTGCAATATGTCCTGTAATTTCTATCTCCGAGTATAATGTGTGTTGTTTTCCTGTTAACCGATGATTGTATTTTACCGTTGAATTTTTTGATGATTGTGACAACTTCTTGCCGTTCCTGTCTTGACATACCGGTTAACACCTGAAATATATTGAGAATAATTATAGAATTGCTTTTATAAGTATATCTTATTTTAATGTATACCTTTTTAATAATGTTTATGTATATTCTATATTAAAACACATTATATAACAAAATTGTACCATAATCATTTAGTTTTCTTAATTTCCTTGTATGTAAGTAAATATAATTATTATTACTGGTTTGAATTTGTCATTTGACTAATGCATAGACAATTTTTTTATTTAAATTAATATATGTATATTGATAAATTTATTAAACTAAACAGAATGCAGACTTAAAATCTATATTTGTATGATAACCTTAAGAGCTAGTCCAGAAATGGCGAATTCGCCGCGATTCTCTCGTGCGTATCATTAAACGACGGTTTCGCATAGATACATACGCGCGAATATTTAGGGTCGAATTTACTATGGAAACGTGTATTCGCTCTGGAATTCGCGCGTTAGCTAGTTAGACTCTTGTCTGGCGTAGTGCACGCGATTTACGCGCGTATTTTAAATTCGCGCTATGCTTGTGGGCCCGATGTATTGGTGCCATGTATCTCAATAACGGGCGAAACGATTTACGGCAAATTCGCCTTTTCTGGACCAGCTCTTAGTTTAAATCATTACAAATACAAACCGTTTGCCATTTCTTATTCAATTATATACCTACATTTATACTATAATGTGAAAAGATTTGTGAGAATTTGGTTTAATACTCAGTGTATAGTGTGATGTAAGCAAAATGTCTCAAGACACTTCAAACTCAAACATTCTGAGCCGTTATTAAATGAATCAATATATACAACTAGCTTTTCGCCCGCAGCTTCGCCCGCGTGGAGTTCGTTTATATCGCGTTTCCAAGAGAACTTTTCAAAAGTCTGGGATAAAATATATCTTGTTCTTTCTCAAGGTCAACTCTATCTGTGTACCAAATTTCATTAAAATCAGTTCAGTGGTTTAGTCGTGACAGCGTAACAGACAGACAGACAGAGTTACTTTCGCATTTATAATATTAGTAGGGATAAATAATATCTTTTAGTTAAAAGATACTCACAAATCTCAATCTTTTATCTACGTTATCTTTTTCTTTTCTTCCATACAGTATATTTTCTGTTCCAATTATTTTTCTCAAAAGCTGTTTGTCTATCTGCCTCCTTGCTTGTGGTTTTTTTGGAGTTTTCTGTTTGATCGGTGTTTGCTCTATATCTGGAAATGATAAAATACATTTAAATATAAAAATTATATTATATAAATATGTAAAAAAACATAATTTTCTTCACATGTCATAGATGAATAATAAATATTGTTATCTGTGGTTTATTAGGAAACTTGCTAAGTCTCAGCTTGTAAAATAGATCATATTTATTTTAAATTGTGATATTTGAATCGTCTTTGTGAATTAATCGCGTAAAATGTCTTTTCTTTTCTCAGGTTAGTTGAGTAAACTTTTTATTGTGAACCTTATAAAGATTGTTATTTCGTTAACAAAAAAATAAATTCTTTGGTTAAAGAACATGCCATTAATCTTTTAATTGACTGTGTCATTCATATATAATGTTTAAGAGTTAGAAATAATTCACTTAAATTATATATTTACATATTAACCAACTGGCAGCGCCATCTATCGCCTGTAAATAACACTACATACATAATATTAACAATTAAGGATCGCGTACCGAAAAAGCGGAACCGGCAATTTTTAACAAAATAATAATTATTGCATGAAACCATTTATTTAAAACAAATATATGACGTCTCACAACAATATATGACTTAATTATTAGCAACGGTAAAACTTGTCATATGTAAAATTGGTAATTAAGATAATTGAACTGTGAAAGTATTATAGGGAAGACTGACCTTCCCTTCGTATTGATAAAATTTTTATAATTTGGTGTGCTATTTAGTTTAAATTTTGCTGGTTTTCCAAAAAGAAATATTGTATTTGCTTAGATTGTTAAGATTACTTGATTAGATATTATTTAATTTAAAATCATGAGGATTTGAAACCATTAAAAATATGTATTTCAAATGACCCCAGATTGCAATAAGCGTTATCTGTCAGGAATTGTACCGGCATCTACACTTGAATATCCTATATGCTATAATAATCTAAACATAAAATATATCTTTATAATCTTATAAATAGTTTTTAAGGCAAATAATAAGAAATATTCAAAAATGCCAGAACAATATAAGAATAATCTAAATGTGATTTTTTTATTGAAATTATTTTGTTAATTACAATAATCAATTTCTCAAAAATTTATTTCTCAACTAGCTTTCCGCCGGCAGCTTCGGCCGTAAAGTTCGGTTATATCGCGTTTCCAAGAGAACCTTTCAAAAGTCTGTGATAAAAACTATCCTATGTTCTTTCTCAAGGTCAACTCTATCTGTACCAAATTTCATTAAAATCAGTTCAGTGGTTTAGTCGTTAAAGCGTAACAAACAGACAGAGTTACTTTCTCATTTATAATATTAGTATATATATACCAGTATCAGATCCTGTCTGTGTGTCTGCCTCCTTGTGTGTGAACAACTTCCTCTTGCATCTTGTATGTAGCGTTGGGTTCTGTGGTGATAGAGGCAGGACTCTACGGGGAGCTGTGTTTACACGGACAGCTACATCTGTTGATTGAAATATTATATTATTAATTAATTTATATATACATACTAGCTGCTCCCCGCGGTGTTACCCGCGGATTTCCGGGATGTAAAGTAGCCTATATGTTATTCCTGGACGTCAGCTTCCCGTATACAAAACTGTATCAAAATCGGTTCAGCCGTTTGAAGAAGTAACAAACATAACCACACACAAACTTTCGCAATTATAATTAGAATAATATGAGATTTTTTAATGTAAGTCATCAAAAAAAAAAAATTTTGCCAAAAAATTAAAGTTTTTAATTAACAAATAAAAAATAAGGGTTGATCTCAGGGGGGTGAAAATTTAGGGTTGTATGTATTTTTGGAGGCTGTGTCATAAAAAAATAAAAACAAAAAATTTTGCCTAAAAAATAAAAACAAAAATTTAGGGGTGGACTACCCTTAACATTTAGGGGGATGAAAAATATATGTTGGCCGATTCTCCCCCCTGGTTAGTATCCTCGATAAGGATCACGTGAATCGTTCGAGCCGTTTCGGAGGAGTTCAAGTTCGAACACCGTGACACGAGAATTTTATATATTAGATGTAGTTTTATGTATTGTTTAGTTCGTTGATAATTGTTTCAAAACAGGTCCAAAATCTGTAAAGTAGCAATGTGATGTTACCAAGTCATATGTACTTTCTAAGAGTATTTAGACACTACTGACTGGTGAAGTGAGTGAGTGAGAAAGAGGCCTTTGCTCAGCAGTGGGCTCTGATAGGCTGATGATGATTGTTTATTAAAATGTTATTAAAAACTATATCAAATTAAATGTCTAGTTTTAAAGAAGCTGCTTATAGACATACAAACATAATTAAAGGGACAAATATTACATATCTATGAGATTTTTGAGCAATGGTAAAATAAGTCCAAAGTGATAATTTAGTTTTTGAGTTAATTCCTTATACACAATCACACATACCTGAAGTTTTTATACTGAACCATACATCAAGCTATCACATATAATATTCAAAATGCTTTTATTTTATCATCTTCTAGCTTTCCGCATGCAGCTTCGCCCGCGTCGAGTTCGGTTATATCGCGTTTCCAAGAGAACCTTTCAAATATCTGGGATAAAAACAATCCTATGTTCTTTCTCAAGGTCAACTCTATGTCTGTACCAAATTTCATTAAAATCAGTTCAGTGGTTTAGGCGTGAAAGCGTAACAGACAGACAGACAGAGTTACTTTCGCATTTATAATATTAGTAGGATAGAATATTAGTAGGAGTCAGTGGTGGCCTAGTGGTTAGAAGGCCCGTCTCTCGTTACCGAGGTCGCGGGTTCGATCCTGGCCCTAGCAAGTACCAATGTGATTTTTCCGAGTCATATGTACTTTCTAAGAATATTTAGACATCACTGACTAATGTTGATTCCCAAAAGAGGGTTGATGTCAGGCAGGCGGCCGGTCGTAAAAAACAATTAGCCAAAACTATTCACAACATAACATGTAAGGCAGACCCTGGCTTTTGCCGGGAAATTGCCATCTAGAAGAAGAATATTAGTAGGATAGAATATTGTAAGTAAATTAATTAAGTGAATATATTAACCGGGACTCCTAGAGGATGAATCTTCAGTTTTATCTTTAGATCTATCTTCAGACTTGTTGTTAGTGTCACTGTCGCTTGATATTCTGAGACGTCCATTATTATCACTACTTGCAGAATCTGATAACTGTCCCAGCGTTATATTTTCCAGTTCAAATCTTTTCTGTGAATGAAATCATATCAAATTATATATAGAACACAATAACAATCTTATTCACAAATAAAAACATAAAAAAAATACAAGAAATAAAATTACACAAAAAAAATATTATTATAATGAGAAAAAGGAAAAAACAGAAAATGTGCTGCAGTGCAACAATACCAAATGGAGATTCGCTCAGTAGAAGAAGCATCAATGATGCTTCTAAACTGATTTTCAGCGGTTTCCATAAGGTACACGAATTAAATTGTGTGTATTTGTTATATTAAATAACCATTAATAAACACATATTGATTAAGTAGGGTATATTGCATAATAATATATTGACAGACCCTGGCTAAAGCTGGGAAATTGCCTTAAAGAAGAAGATATTGCATAATATACTTTGTTTTTTATTAAATTTTTGTGGCTGTATGTGATATAGTTAAATTGGCTCTTGGACTAAGTTTTGGACTCAGCTAGTATATGTATAATAGTTTCCTTCTTACTTATAAATAAACTATTATCATAGGAATATGAATTAATTACATTATTAAATTATAATAAGAAAAAACTAAATTGATAGCAATATTTTCTTTTAACCTTACTGTGATTTTTTTGAAAAAAAAAACAAATATTATGTATAGATATAACAAACTGAAAAAAGTTTGAAGCCATAACTAAAAATGTCATTGTGTTAAACATTTTTAATAAAAAAAAAAACTATTTTTAAATTTGCTTTCTTCTATGCTTTATAAATAGCTGCATACATTCAATTTAGTAGAACTAACTTTGTATGTTATAGCAAAACATTAAATCTTTATTTGTATATAATAATCAGTATATTATGAACCAACCAGCATCCGTTTAAGACTATTCGGTGAAGGAAGATCTGATGGTCTACTTGCAGCGGGGAATAGTCCTTCTGGTAATCGCCTATTAGCAGCTGCACAAGCTTCAACCCACAACGGAGAAACTAGCTTACAAGCTAATAAACGAGCTTTAGACCTGACATCTCGGGAACCACCTGAAAAATATATGTACAAATGCTTATTCTGGCTTTTATATGGTTATTAGTTATTGTTATAACTAATTCAGAATAGATTTGCTTTAAATTTGTATGCATTAGAAGTAGGACCGAGATGTATAATAGCTAAATCTGTTTACAACCTACTAAAAGACTAAGGCCTGACTAGAAGTAGCATCAGTTCATTCTTGGAATGAACTTCGAAGGCAGTCCTTATAGGTTTGTTTCAAATTGATTAGGTAGAGAGAGGAGCTTGGACGGTGGAGGTGATCGTTTAACGCGTTAGATAGGGGTCCTTAAACCTACACCTGGGTCACAAGTCCCCGGCACTGTTGAAGCTCCTCTCACTACAACGATGGACCCGGCACAAGCACAGTGAATATATTGAATGATGCGAGGTTTGGTCTCTTTATTTGTTATACTTGGTGGGTATTGTTAAATAATAATATGATGTCAAGTATATGTAGATAGATCATTTTATTATAATATGTTCGGTCATTGAGTATCTTCTTGTTGTGTATTTGTTATACTTGCTTGTCATTGTTAAATAATTTGATGTCAAGTATATGTAGGTAGATCACTTTATTATATTTTTCAGTTCAGTCTCACTACTTATCACAAGACATATATTACAAATTTTATATAGTTGTATTTTAAGTTACTGACCTTCGGACCAAACTAAATGTGTGACGAGATTACTCCACTGTGGCACCACAGAAGCTCCTAAAGCCATTAGGGCTGCTCTTAAGGCTAATGCTTTAGATTCCGAACCAATATCCACATGTACGACCAATCCTCGGAGTATTTCACTCGTCTTATTGCTTGCTCGATCATGCTTAATTGAAATATCAAGAATTATTAACGTGTACATACAAAGTACTTACAAATTTGTGTGATTTTAAAGTAAGCAAAGTTGACATAATCTTTGAATTTTATGTTATTTAATTCTATTAAATAAAAGTGATATTTTTAATTTAACTATGTGTTTTTATTAATTTAAACTACATACTTCAGATGTTTTGGTTACTTTGTATTTGAAAATCTTAGTTTTATTTAAATGTATAGTTGTGAAAGTCTTAGATCTCATATTTAACTCTGTTTTATAGTGAACTATTATATTAAATAATACTTTATCAATTGTTTTCTTATTTATATTTAATGTAACTAAGAAATAGGTTTAAATGTTCTCATTGTGATCAGAACTAGTTATTTCTATATCATTGGTTATTTTATAGTCAAATAAAAGTGATTAATGCTCAAACCCTCTTCATGAGAGAAAGAGGCCTTTGTTCAACAGTGGACTCTGATAGGCTAATGATGATAGTCAAATAAAGTTTATTTTAATACTTACTCTCGGAGTGTGTTTTTTTGATGCACTTCTACTATTTAGTCCCGTTTTAGGAAACCGAATAACTAAATTTCCATGCTGCTTCTTGGTAATGTTTCTTTGTATTGGAACTTGATTTATCGTATTGTCAATCTCCTTTAACGCTGACCATTCTTCTCGAAGACGTAATCTTTCAGCAATAGCTGAGCGTCTCTATAAAATGAAACAATTGTTATATATATTATATATATGTATATATAATAAAATATCAAATAATTATTACTTACAAGACCTGCTGCGCTTCTGTTATCGTCTTTAGCCATGACGATTATTTAATTTTAATTATTGCGTTTCTGACATTAAAATAACAGGAAAATGGTTGAAAAATTCACTATATACTTTCAGTTACTTAATTTACACTTAAATTGACTCGACACATTTAGCTCTCCTTATATAAAATCTAAGTTGATGCTTAAAATATAAATTGTACACGAATAAAGAAAGAAAGTACCTAAATAAAGAAAGAAAGTATGTTTACATCGGGACAAGTCCGAACAAGTCTGATAACTGATTTCGATTAATAAATTTTTATTTATATTTTGACTTTACTAACTGTCACGTCGACATTTGTATAACGTTCGGATAGTAAAGGGGTGAGGATTATATTGTATAGGGGTCCAGTTTAAAACAAATATTTAAAAGTTCTGTCTGCTTAATTTTTATTTCATCATTTGGTTTCTTGATCAGTTGCCAAAATTAATTTTGTAATAACTTAATGGTTATAACATAATCATTTTTAAATGTGAGAAAAACGTAAAAGAAATAAACAGTTCCATCAAATTTACTTTTATTTAAATAGTCATAACCACCACTCATTATATAATTCTTGATTTCTTAGTTTAAGGAAGGCTTTGTGCTCTGTAATAGTTTTTTAACTAGCAGAGGGCAAAGAAAACCGTTTCCACCAACTTGATATATGTATTAATTAAACATAATGTAAGTGTATAATTAGCACTGTAATAATAATTGTAAACTATTTTGCTTGGAGACTAATAAATTATTATTATTATTACATATATTTAACATATTAATATAGAAATGAGATGATAATTAAGACGCCGTCTGAACTTCAAACAGGCTTTGTAAAGTGAATCCTTCTTTTAACGGTTCTATGGCCAGCCCGAGATATTGGCTATATACCGGTTGTATTTCCTCGTCGTTTTTATGTTGGGACTGTTGAGACGCTAAATATAAAGACGGACCCATCTCGCCGCGGGGTTCGCCGATTTCTTCTAATTCACTTATATCATCGTGTAGAGGTTTGGATATCTGGGGAGGATTCAAATATATGTTTAGGATTTATAAACAAAATTAAAGACGAAGAATAGTAAAAATGTGGCCTACAAAGAAACTTTTCCCAACCAGAAATAAAAGGATTAACATCTGTTGATTATGTCTTATTCAATAATTTTAAATAATCAAGGACTAAGTATATTAATATACCCAAATATTATACCACGCTCATTTTTTTAAAAGAAACAAAAGCGTCGTTAAAGAAAACGAATCTTATATGAAAACAATATGATTGAATGAATAACCATAAAAGAACGCAAATCAAGTTAATTGAAAGTGATTTTTACCTCACTCTCCCAACACATTTCCACTCCAAACACAGGCGCGTCTGTGTACGCGTTGTGTAACGTTTGTAACTCAGTCAGTAGCGGCTGAAGTCTCTCTCGCTCAGCTCTGAAACCCAGCACGTAGCCGCCGCACGACGCGCGAGTCGCTATCACTAATGCATCACCGAACTTTGAATCTCTCACCGTTATCTGAATTACATAACACTAGCTAAATATAATAATGTCTTAGATTTTCGTGTGTATTTAGTAAAATAAAACTTAGATTTTCAGATGTACTACGCATTTTTATGATTTTTACAACTACATGTTATATACTATGTTGTTGATGATGAAAATGTTCATTTACTTTTGATCACGATTGCTGCAAAAGAAACGTTGAGAGTATGTAGTTGTAAAATAATAAGAAATGTGTAGTATAGGTAGAAGAAAAAAAAAATTAATTTAAAAACTCACGCTTTCTATAGTGATGTAAGGCATCGATACGTTAAATGATTCGTTGATATCAGCGTACCAGACTACACGTACGTTGCTTATTACCATTGTCCCTAAATTACCCGATTCACTTGATAAATTCCATACACCGTTTTCGGTTAGACAGATCTGAAATTAAATATAAAGTCGGAAACATAACGATATGGTATAATATATCAGTGCATGTATTCAAACGTCAAAAAAGGCGGGAACTTTATATTGATTTGAAATGTCACATGTCTAAAATAAGTTTTTTTTTATTTTTGAAGATGGCAATCTGCCTGTTTTGCCAGAATCGTGTATTTAATAATGCTAATAAAATGACAACACATCAGAAACGTAAACTTTGGGCGGCCGGACTATTAATGATGATTTAAAATATGCATTTTTCTTACTATACCTTTTCTAGTGGCAATACTTTCAACTGCTTGTTGTGAATGATCGCTCCTCTCAGCTTGAGGTCGCGGTACATACGAGATGATGCATATGCTCTGGATAAAAATTAATTAGAATGAAGTAAATGTAACGAACAATATTTATAATAATAATATATTTATTGTATTATCCCTAAATAAAAACCAAAATTGCAGTCTACGAAGGGGGATTCTATTTCGAAAAAGCTTTCTCTCAGATAACCAAAAAATTATACGAGTTTAAAATTTTACGAATTTTAAGAGGTATATCTGACATATAATACTCTATATACATATATGATATATGGATATGTATACAGTTATTATTTCATTCATAAACATAAAAGTAAGTTACGATACTAATTAGAAATGAATACGCTTTAATCATAATATGTAGATAAGAATGGTACAGAAGAGTTAAAGTTTGGAAAAAATTCACTAAGCAGAAAGGAAATAAGTTCTCAAAAATGGGCAACGGAGTGCTTTAGTGATAAATATTATCTCTTCAAAAAAATATTGATAGTTTGTTCTGTGATAAACGTATAATAAAATAATAATATACTCACTTATGAACGCCGGAAACGGATGTGTAATGTCTCACGCAGTTTGGCGCCAAATTAGTGAAGACGAATTCGTATTTATTAGTGTTGTAGCCAGCCAATATATATAGAGCCTGCGTGGTTCCGCGGAGACCTGAGTTCACTACCTTGGTGCTTGTGGATATGAAGCAGTTCAGACCGACGGCTTAAAAAAATTAAAACATTATATTATTATTAATTACGTTCAAAAACCTATATTAACAATTTAATGTGAGAAGATATACAGGTTTAAATATCTTTATTCTCAACTAGACAATACATAGTCACTTATTTGACATTTACTATGTAAACATTCGTCACACCAAATTTTATTTAATCTGTAGTGGTTAGTACGAAATTAATAAGAGAATATAAGAAAAGGAAAATGCATCCACTGTATGCGTTAGTTGGTAAGATATTGCGCTAGTTTTAAATGATTTAAGATTTATGATTTCTGACCGAAAAACTTTTAACGTTCCGTTTATGTGACGTCAAGTTAGAAAAAGTGTACAATTATATTCTGTACGTGTTAAATTTATAATAGAATCTATAATTGGCAGACTTAATGTATTTACAACCTCAAATAACATTTTATTTTAATCTCAGTTATGATTAAACAAATAATTGTCGTTTGTTTCATGTCATATATCAATTGGTAGAAAATGGGATATTTCAAATGCTTATATTAAATATATTTCGAAGTATAGATGTCTATATAAAGTATTAAGCCGTGCACTTTTAAGGTAAATTTAGAAAATATATAATCAATATTTTTTTTCTTTAGCCCGTATTTTATATTGTTTATTACTTATAAAATAATCTAAAGATTACCAATGAAAAGAATTCCGTCTTAAAGCTAATTGTCTGAATAAATCAGTCGACATTTTGAGGGTCAAGAGGGCAATTCGAAGTTTGTTTGGGAATGGCAAATATTTGGGCACGTCCTGGATTTGAACGACGCTTTGATTGTTGTGGATCGTATTCGGGAAAGGTTTTTTGTAGATATTATTGTCTCCTGCGGTTTTATTCTTTAGAATTTGTTTTTTTTATTACGATATATAACAAATAAGGTTTTATTTAATATAAATAAAGCATTATTATGAATAATTTATAATAGTTCACGGCATTGTTAGTATTTGTTTAGTTATTTACTTATATGTATGTTTATAAATAAATAAATAATATTTGAGAGTATATTTCCAAATTAAAATGTACTTATTATGAAGTAAAATATATTTTTGTCTATCTGTCTGATTGTTCATTCTATTCTCCAAAACACCGAATTTTATTTCGAAGGCACTTTCATTGGCAGATAGCTCATGTGCTAAAAACCTAGGTTACTTTTACTTTAGAATTTATAGTTTAATTTCTTAATTTTACTATAAAAATAACTGTTCCCACCGAAGTCACTAATATAATCACACAAGTAGTATACAAAGATGTTTATTAAAGCACTAACTTTGAGGGCCAAAGAAACCATTTTGTATGTTTTCATCCACGGCATAATGTATTGAGCATTTTAAGTTTGTATTTATTTTAAAAGAACTTTCTAGATTAACATGACATTTAATCAATCAGCGTCCTTCAAACATTTTATTAAATCAGGACAAAATCTTAATGAATATACTTTCTTATTAAAACTAATGAAGATCATCCTAATTTTACGCTTTTAAAAATATATTTAGATTTTTTTTATCTGTTCGTTAAAGTTTACATATCAAATAAACAAAACTGTTACGTAACTTAATTAGAAAATACTGTTATATATAAAGTTAGTGCAACAAAACTATCCCATCATAAATATTTTATAATATTCTTAATTTAAATAATATTTTCTTTTTTTATTTACATATTTCATAAATTATAAAAATAAATTTTATTACATATAATTTTTAATATATATAACATATTAATTATTTTAGTTGTAATACATACGACATATCCCTACTAGTATTATAAATGCGAAAGTATCTCTGTCTGTCTGTTACGCTTTCACGCCTAAAACACTGAACTGATTTTAATGAAATTTGGTACAGACATAGAGTTGACCTTGAGAAAGAACATAGGATATATTTTATCCCAGACTTTTCAAAGGTTCTCTTGGAAACGCGATATTAAATAAATATGTATCTGTATAAATATATTATATAAACATATTTATAATCTGTTATTTAACCTTATGTCATTTCTTAACTAAGCTATATTTATTTTGACAGTGTTCTTAATATGAATATCTGATGAGTGAGGTGTTATATTATCAATAATACCAACTTAAGTTGATCCTGGGTGAGCTGAGTGAGTGCCAGATTATCCTAAGGTTGGTAACAACCAGCCGGCCCTTCATGCCGCTGTTACCTTTCGTATCCTCAATCGGTTCAATTCTATCAAATACTTTCTCGCCGCTTCTCAACTTTAGATATCTGTAAATACAATGGATACTACAATAACAAGCCTTAGAAACGGTCTGTCTTTTTATATACATAATTTATATTTATTCTCACGAGAAAGGCAAATCGAAAAGAACTTCCCGGTCTTCCCAGACAATTCCACGTTTTGATTTCGGCATTTTTATGTTTTATAATTTCGTGTGTTGTATTGTATTGGTTGTCGTAGCAACGTGTCTATGGTTCTTACGTACGTGGAAATTGGATACTAGCTTTACAAAATCGATTATTTTCTAATATTTCCACCATTGAAAATCAAAGCTTCAATTTATTATTGTTAAACATTAGATATAAATACAAGAAACATAAATTTTTAGTACTTTTTTGTGTAACAATTTAAATCAGTAAATTACGTTTTAATTATTTTTGTTACGATTTTTGCGTTTAAATTATTTGCAATAACCGTATATTCATAAACCGGTGTTCTTTATGTAGTTTCAAACACTATTAAGATTAAAAAAGGGTTTTTTATATTTTTCGTGCACTTATCATCTTTCCAATAATAACGTTATGTCATTGGTGTCAAATTTAAAAGCGCTTTAGAACAAATTACTAACTTTCATTGACGGAAACATCTTAAAAGCATTTCATCGGATTTGTCCCCAACGTCGTTTAAATCGGTTAGAAAATTTATTTGAATTTTATAAATCAAATTCGATATATAAAAATTCATAGTTCATATTTTGATTAAAAAATTACTCAGTATTGCCATTATTTTGGTTTAATATCCCTGTTTTGTTGTTAAAAATATATGTATTTTTATAGAAATACTCTTTAAAAACGTCTGTAGTTTTATTGCGTGGACGTGTCCAGTAGTGGTTTAGATAACAAGGACCTAAAGATTTAAATCGACACACCAAATTTATTTCTTCTAACTATTTATTTCTTCTAAAAAATTATTAATTCTAATTTGGAACATTAAACAAGCACCGTTGATTCTATTTACGAAAAAAAAAAAAACAAATGTCACTTCGTTGACAGTTGTTGACAGTCCATGGAGGTTTCCTTAAAAGAGTTTGTAATGAAAGTAATTTAAGTATATTTTGTAAATTAAACTTTTATAAGACGTATGAGTTTAATCTCATCTATTTGATATGTAATCAGCGACACGTACAAAGTATTGAGAGAGTGTACGTGACCCGTTTGAAGTTTTAATGTTTTAGAATTAAAATGAGTAAAGAAAATAAATATATAGTGATATATAATAAATATTATATGAAATATAAAGCTTTTTATATTTTAATATTAGAAATATCTTATGTTAGAAATTATAAGATTTTAAATGGTTCAAAGAGCATACACAAATTTGACTTATTTTTTCTAATTGTTCTCATTGACACTAGTAAATCAGGAATCTTGTATTTTTCAAGAATGCAATTAAGGCTGCTTACTAAGTTAGATTTTGATGAATGATATATGAAAATAAAATATAGGTAATCTATAAGTATTAATAGTTATATGTACTTTCAGAATAAACATTTGATAATATAATTCACTAATCTGTTTTGTTTCAAATTATCATATATTAGTTTTTGCCTGCGACTTTGTCTGCATTAGTTTCAGAATTAGAAATGAATAGTTGACCGGGCGAAAAGTCAGTGGTGGCCCAGTGGTTAAAGGGCCCGCCTCTCGTTGCCGAGGGCGCGGGTTCGATCCTGGCCCGGGCAAGTACCAATGTGATTTTTCCGAATCATATGTACTTTCTAAGAATATTTAGACATCACTGATTAATGTTGATTCCCAAAAGAGGGTTGATGTCAGGCAGGCGGCCGGTCGTAAAAACAAATAGCCAAAACCATTCACAACATGTAAGGCAGACCCTGGCTATAGCCGGGAAAATTGCCAGGTTTTGGCAGACCCTGGCTAAAGCTGGGACATTGCCAGGAAGAAGAAGAACCCGTATTATCACCGTTTTGCTGCTGGCACGCATCGGTTTTGCAACGTTACGTGCTATGCGCGGAGCGTATGGGCATAATATTCTCGCCGACAATAATCAACGCTCCGTGCATGGCACGCGTCAGTACTAGTCGGTGACGGAACGGTCTCTTTAACCACTGAGCCACCACTGACTTTTTTTTTGGTGATAATACGGGTTATAACCGCATATAAGGACTGTTATTAACCAATATTCTGATTCAGTTTTTCGTTTTTTTAAAGTATCGTGAATCCAGTAGCGTCGAGTGGGTTTTTGGTTTTCTTCTTCCTCATTCAATATTATGGCAATCATTGCCAGTTATCCAACAGTTAATCTTTTAGTAGCCATACCTATTTTATTATTTTGATACTTGAAACCACTCCAGACGTCCAGGCTTTAATACACATGTGATAATGAAACTGCTTCCTATGAATAGTCATACAAATTTCGGGTGGGTAACTTACGGGTTGTATACGGACACTATATTCGCATTTTACGGGCATTAAACGCCATCGACTCGTTTTAGTGGGCAAAGCAAGCCATATAGTATTACCTTCCGTGCTTGGTACGTTCATAGCACGGTCATAGTATGATACGGTGTAGTGGACAGACTCCTTAACACTTCCTTTTATACAGGGTGACTGGTGAATTACTATCGATATTTGAAGACGTGATATTTGACGATCATATATTACAAAATAAAAATTAATATAACATAAATATTAATAAACTTCTAAATAAAGTTAACCAAAAGTTATGTAATTAATTACGCATCGTGTGAACACCCTACAGATTAGATATACACACACACACACACACACACACACACACGCGCGTCCACACTTGGAACACTTGGAACGTGTCCACACTTTATTTATTTATACGGAAATTTGGTCCAAAATTAAGTGCCTATTTTTTTTACATAATTCGAATGAGAATCATGTACCGAGTATTCTCCTTAAATATTGATAGTAATTCACCAGTCACCCTGTATAAAGACTAGACTCTAAAATTAAATGTGTCAAAAAGACTTATCCAACTCAGAAATTTAGTGGAATAGAGTTCGGCTGTTTTAATTTGGTTTCGAACTTAACGACATTCTGAAAAGACGAATGTCAAAACACTTATAACCAGTCTGTCATACAATTACAACTAATAGGTTAAAATTTATAAAAAATGTGTTTTTTATAATACATGATATATATTTATTTCGTTTTTTTCATAAAAATAAAGATAAATTTTAAAATTATTTCCTATACACAAAGTTAACTTTTTATTTAACATTGATATTTTTTATTTACTTATTTACGGATAAAATTTGTTACCAAAAGATTTAATTTAGTTTCTAAGCAAGTAATCAATGAATTGGTCTATCAATAATACGAATTAAACTTTACAGTCTATGTATTATTAAATCAAAACAGAACATTTCCTGGTATATTTCATATCAAACCTTTTTAATATCAAAAACAGGGTGTAAATTCATAATTTTATTAGCACGGTAAGGAAAAAGTTCGCATATTAGAAGTTCCACAAGTCATCGGCAGGTGCGTTCATTTGATTCGGTGTATTTCAGTTTTATTAAAAAAGTACCGGGAAAGTACCGAGCCTTCGTTCAGAAACCGAATTGTCGTTCGGAAATCGGCTTAGTCATAAATACTTTTCATCGCATTATAATTTATGGTTAAATATTATTAAAACTTACGTCCTATAATTAGTACACTTATTTAGTTAGTGAAAAAAAAAATCAGGGTCATTTAATAGTCAGATCTGGATTCGAATATGAGACTCCTGACATTTACTACAGAAATAATTGCTTATTAATCCATTACGCCTTATTATACGATGAATAAATAAACATTCCATATATTCCGAGCAATGTTTGTGATACTAACAAAGATTTGGACAGAAATAACAGTGTGTTCAGTTATGAAATCCATCATAATTATTATAATGTACGCAATCAAAAAGTTCCTTAAGATATCAACAAAAAAACCCAAAAGGCATCAAAGTAGAATTTATTTAATCATACTATTTAAGAGATACTGCCGAAAATATAATGTTATAAGAATAGGGTCATTAAACTACCTCTAATTGTTTTAGAACAATATTATATTCTTAATTTTCTTTAATAAAATATTTAAAGGACTAGATTGATGCAAAGTCTAAAAATAATGAAGGTTTTGTATTTCATCCTTCCATTTAAGAAACTTAGAATTATCAACAACTAGCTTTCCGCCCGCAGCTTCGCCCGCGTGGAGTTCGGTTATATTTCTTTTCCAAAAGAACCTTTCAAAAGTCTGGGATAAAAACTATGTTATGTTCTTTCTCAAGGTCAACTCTATCTCTGTACCAAATTTCTTTAAAATCAGTTCAGAGGTTTAGGCGTGAAAGCGTAACAGACAGACAGACCAGACAGAGTTACTTTCGCATTTATGATGTTAGTGGGGATATAATAAGTTGATTTTCAAAATTGTATGTAGATAAGGAAGTGTAGTAATCATTAAAGTTTTCACTTAATCTATGTATATTTTTTTTCTCGTTATAAAGTGAAAAAGTAACTTATCCTTACTAGAAGTTATTATTTATAACTATTAAACACTAAGTTTATAACAGCGTTAGTTTAAGTTTTAATTACAATGCAGTGAAGTAACTTTTTTATAACTTACGTGCTTACTTGAAAGCACGTATCTAATATGTAATTTTAATAAGTATTTACTTGGTTTTTATTTACACTTAATACATTATTTTGATAAATTTTTGAATGCTATTTAATTTTAAACTTACCGGACGGTACTTTCAGAAGTAATTGAGAAATTTTTGTTAGGATTTGAATATCAGAAAATCGTCCATAAGGTAATAGAAAATATATTCATGTTTATGCGTAACCTTAAAATAATTATATTATTGTGTTGTTATAATATAGCAATGTTTATTTACAGTTTTTGTTAATTTCGGTCGCTCATACATTTGTAGGACATATAAAAAAAATAAATACACGTGTCATAATTCACATCAGTGATTTGGGTTTTATCTTTTCAAAATATAGCAAAATCCTTCGCTTTCCCATATATTCAATATATCTATATATATATAAAAATGGATTGCTATTCCTTAGTCTCGCTAAAACTCGAGAACAGCTGAACGGATTTATCTTATCTTAGTCTTGAAATGTTCGTGGAGGTGCAGGGAAGGTATAAAAGCTGA